GGTTGGCCACTGAAGCGTCAACATTCTGAGTTGCACACACATCAACAAAGTCTTTATCAAATTTCCCTCAAGGGTTGTTGATGGAAAATGTAAAATAGCTCTATTATTAGAAGAATAGGTCATGCATAGTAAGTTGAATAATTGAATGGACTTTTCTATTATATCCTTGACCATCCTAAAGGAATACAACCAATTAATTTGTAGAATTTTAGCACCATCAAGGGCTTCAGCGGTCATCTAATCTGAATCCTTAATTTTACAAATGAGGAAATTGAGGTCACAAATGTCATATTCTAGTGATTGTCACAATGGGATTTAGATATACCTACATGGGATTCTAGACAGACCTATATTGACTTAGATCAAAGTTCTTGCCATTAAATCAAATCTATCTATTTGGGAAAATCTGTGAACTAAGCCCATCATTTAAAAAGTAGATCCACCTCTTTTCATGTCCTTCTGATAGTGGGTATGGAAGAAGGTGATACCGGAGCCAAACTCAGATGACATTATTATGATTCAGTATGGTAGTTTGATTTTTAAAAGGTATACCTAAAAACTGAAATGTTTAAGCAAAGGAATTAAAAAAAAATATCTTGTTACCATGTGAATATGTCCTCTAAGTGAAAATTAAGATAGCATTGCCTAGTGTATCTCTTTCATGTATAGTGTGGATTTGAAAGGCTTTTTGCTCAGAGAGCTCCGTAAAAATAATTTATTTGAGAAGACAATTTAACTAAAAAAGATAATAAATGTGTTATTGCCCAGACCCAGTGTAGCATAGCTTTCATTTTTTTTTTTTTTTCCAAACAAAAAGCACACATTTATGTATTAATTCTTGGATTTATATATCTCTAGCAACTAAATTTGCTAGAAAACACAGATTGCCCATGGGTGGTGTGATGTGGCTGGTAACAAAAGAGTGTAAAAACAATTAGTTCACTTGTTTTTGCCTAAGAGAGCTTTTAAAGTGTATAGAACAATTCAATGCAGCATCTTTCCAGAATTAAAAGCAGCACCTCTCATTAATATTTCACAAGGGATTTAAGCCATCAGAGCTGTGAGTGAAAGACACATAA